GAGTGTCCTTGGGGTTGCTGGAAAGCAGAACGTGTTCTTAAGCCCCAGGAATCTGCAAGAGTGCTGTCTCTTTAAACATCCAAAATAGTCAAGGCGGTTTTTAAACTTTCAAAATGGCGGCACCCTCTGGACCAGCAGAAGTCCACAGCTCAGCCCACCTTTCTCTTCACCTTCTCCGTTTGTTCCCCAGCTGTCATGCACAGTCCTCCGTGCAGTCCCTGGCTAGCAGGGTGATTTTTTAGATTAATTCTTAAGTCCTACCACCACTCGGGAATCTCCAAGCTGTCTGTGCCGACAGGATCGCTGCCAGACTGCAGCTCCATCTGTCTCCTTTTTTGGTATTTTCACGCAAATTCTTCTGCTAGTTGGGGTTTAGTCCACTTGTATATACTTCCTTCAAGGCTCAGGGGTCCAGGATTTCTTCTGTGTCTGTGTTAATTGTTTTCTCTTTTTTTTGTTGAAGAGTGTCCGTGCAGTCTTTCTGCCTAGTCCGCCATCTTGCCAGATCTCTCTTACTGTATTTCTTGTTGGCTTTTTACAGGCTAGATTTTGATGATGATGGAGAAGGGAACAGTAAATTCTTGAGGTAAGACTTAAAAAATTTTCTCTAGCCTTCTGATATTAAAAATTAAAGTATGAACTTTATACTTTTGGTTTGTAATATTTTTATTCTTAGGGCTGAGGAGAGTGCTTTTACTTAAAATTGTAAAAGTTTATATTACATTATATCCCAGAAAAAAAATTTCAAGCATTCTGTTAATAACTCCAGAGGAAGATCCCCAATAAGAAGAGAACAGAGAATTTATAAGACCCTTTATATCAGTTATCTATTGCTGTGTACCAGTACTGGCTTAACAACAACAATCTATTATTTTTCACAATTCTGTGGATTGACAGGGTCGTTTATTTTGCTGATTTTACCTAGACTCTCTTATAAGACTATATTTAGCTCGCTGATGTACTGGGAACTGGGCTCAGCTGGGATGGTTGGGTATCTCTCTCTGTGTGATCTTTTATCTTCAAGGAGACCAAACTGATGTGGTATTGGCTATAATGTTCACATGGCGTTGGCTAAAATCCAAGCCTCTGCTTTTGTATCCCATTTGCTGACATGCCATTGAGCCAAAGCAAGTCTTAAGTCCAAGTCCTGAATCAATGTGGATGGGGGGTACACAAGGGAATGGATACTGCGAGGCATTAATGTATTAATCTTGCATACTGTCTGATACCTCTTGACTCCTGTAGAACAGGAATTAGAATTTGCATCCTTGAATAATGAATCTTCATGGGCATGATATTGATGGAAGGGTTCTTCTGAGAAGGGATGGATAGTCTCATTGATGATCAATTACTTGGCTTGTTTTCAAGTGAGAAAAGCAGTAAGAGTCAAAGGAAGATAACCTTGACTTCAGCCTGCTTTCCTTCTTTCAAAAGTTGAAAATATTACCCAAGTGTTCTCTACATTGTAGTGTAAGATATATTTGATGTATAATTAACATAAAACAAAGGAACCCTTTAAAAAATTATTTATATGAGTGCCCAGATTTCATTTCATTTATTCATTGGTTAGTTTTATTTTCATTGCAGAATTTTTAAATGCTGCATTACAGACAGTGCAAGTGCATCTTCATTTCACTTTAGACATTTAGAACCTTCCCTTTAGACAAAGACTGTTTCTAGAAATAATGTATTTGCAAGTGTATGTAGGTACAGATAAATGCATATGTGTGCATCTGTGCACACTCATAATATCCCCAGTTTTTGTTTTCACGTAAAGGATATCCATATAACAAGTTGCTTGCCATTGTCTGGTTTTATAGTGCTTAGTATAGTCAGCAACATCTTTGATATTTTTTCTATAGTAATGTTTAAAATTAATACTTGTATTTGTAGCTACTAATTAGTTGCTAAGCCCTGGCAGATACTCTTGGAAACACCCACCATAAGTTGGCCACTGTGAAGAAATAGTTGGAAATAACAGTAACTCTCCAAGAGGGTTCTTGACAGTTTACCTTAGTAAGTCTCAAAAAATGTGATGAGGGGAAGAGATTTCTGGAGAAGGATAGACTTTTAAACTGCTTTAATGGGAATTCCTTCCATTGAGAACCTCTCATTACAGTGATCCACCACCTGTCTTGTCAGTTTTATTGTACTGTGGTGGCTTGTATGTTGCTCTGATGCTTGAAGTTATGCCACTGGTGTTTTGAATACTAGCAGGGTCACCCTTGGTGGACAGGTTTCAGCAGAGCTACTAAACTAAGATAGGCTAGGAAGAAAGGCCTGTCAACGTACTTCCAGAAATTAGCTGATGAAAACCTATGGTTCACAACAAGAGTATTGTCCAATATAGTGCTGGAAGATGAGCCCCCTACGTTGGAGTGGCTGCACTACACAGTGGGTGCAACAATGGACTTGGTATTGTAAATGCTGAACCCTATTAAAAAAACTAAACTCACTGCTGTCAAGTCGGATCTGATTCATAGCAACCCCTCCTTGGGTTTCCAAGGCAGTATCTCTATGGAAGTAGATTGGCCAACCTTCCTTCCAAGGAGTGGCTGGTGGGTTTGAACCACCAGCATTCTGGCTGGCAGTCAAATGCCTTAGCTACTATGCCACTAGAGCCCTCTATACCTGTGGTTGAAAACCCATTTTGGAATGGGTTTTTCTTGTTATGTTAATGAAGTATTAGTATAGGATGTGTTGGCAGTCTCTTTTGAGATACAAAAAGAGCAAATTAGATGTGGAGAAGCAAGCAGAGATGAGGGAAGATAGATGTCACATCACATAAAGATCACCAAAGAGCCAAGGAATAGAACTGCAGAGAGAGTGACCTTCCCCCCCAGAACTGACAGAGAAATCCTTTCCCTAGAGCCGGTTCTCTGAATTTGGACTTCTAACTTCCTAAGCTGTGAGAAAATAAATTTCCATTTTTAAAGCCACCCACTTGTGATATTTCTGTTATAGCAGCACTAGATAACTAAGACACCAACGATCATGAAGATGGCGCAGGACTGGACAACATTTTATTCTGTTATACATAAGGTAAGGTCACCGTGAGTCAGAGCTGACTGGATGGCCAACTAACAACAAGTATAATGATAGATGCTAATGGTGGAACTGTGTTATTCATATGAATGGCATGGAGGCAACCAGTATTCTTATTTATACCTGACAGTTAACTCTAGGTCTGATCATTGCTTCCATTTCCGCAAAATCCATTAGTCACAGATTATATGCAAATCTAAAGAGAGGTTCATTTGTCCTTTCCCCTAATTTAAAAAAAAACTGTAACAAATCATCTTACCAAGTGGGTCATTATACTTGAGAGAAGGATCACCTAATGTCTTTATTTGACTAGAAATACATTTTTTTAAATAATTGGAATGTTTCATGATGGTCAGTGAGTGGAAACTTTACTTGCAGTGTAACTGTAAATTCAGTGTTACATCTCCTTGATAGATGCAACTTTTGACACTTACAACTTATCTCTTTTCATCTTATGCTTTACTTTGTTCAAGTATTGTTTCTGTTTTATTTTCCAGACATCTATAAAATAATTTTTAAAAGTATTAAGCCTTTGAAATTTTAGGTACAGTATCAGGGTTATTAGTATCTTTGTTGTTGTTGGTTGCCATCTACTTGACCCCTGACTCATTGCAACCCCACGTACAGAGACAAAAAACAGTGCCCAGTCCTTTGCCATCCTTATGATCAGTTGCAGATCAGACTGTCATGATCCATAGGGTTTTCACTGGCTGATTTTTTGGAAGTAGATCGCCAAGGCTTTCTTCCTACTCCACCTTAGTGTGAAAGCTCTGTTGAAATCTGTTCAGCAGCATAGCAACATGCAAGCCTTCACTAAAAGACGGATAGTGGCTGTGCATAAAGGTCGTTGCTTAGGACAAAACACTGGGTCTCCTGCACAGAAGGAGAGTATCGTACCTCTGAATGACTAGTGTTCCCTATTAGTATATAGAATAGTGGTTTTCAGAGTTAAATGTGCATACAAATCCACTTAGGGTTCTTGATAAGAAGATTCTGATTCATTGGGTCTAGGTCAGGGCCCAAGATTTTACATTTCTAATAGGTTCCTAGATAATGCTGCAGCTTTTGGTCCTCAGACCACACTTTGAGTAGCAAGAATCTAGACCACTCATTCTTGAGATTCAAGGTAAATTGTTGCTTTAGGTGCTGTTGAGTCAGCTCCAACTCATAGCGACCCTGTGCACAACAGAATGAAACACTGCCTGGTCCTGTGCCATCATCACAATCCTTGCAATGCTTGATTCCATTGTTGTAGCCACTGTATCAGTCTGTCTTATTGAGGGTTTCCCCCTTTTTCTCTGACTCTCTACTTTAACAAGCATGATAATCCTTCTCCAGGGAATAGTCCCTTCTATCAACATTATCAACATGAGCAAAGTAGGTGAGACAAAGTCTAGTCATTCTCATTACATTCTGGCTGCACTTCTTCCAGGACAAGTTTGTTTGTTTTTCTGGCAGTCCATGGTATTTCCAGTATTCTTTGCCAATGCCACAACCAAAGGCATCAGTTCTTCTATGGTCTTCCTTATTCATTGTCTAGCTTTCACATGCATATGAGGCGATTGAAAATACCGTAGCTTGGGTTAGGCACGCCTTAGTCTTTAGTGACATCTTTGCTTCTTAACACTTTAAAGATGTCTTTTTTTGCAGCACACTTGCTCAGTGCACTATGACGTCTGATTTCTTGACTGCTGCTTCCATGGGCATTGATTGTGGATCTAAGTAAAATGAAATCATTGACAACTTCAATCTTTTCTCCATTTATCATGATGTTGCTTCTTGGTCTAGTTGTGCACATTTTTGTTTTCTTTATATTGAGATAATGTGTAAATTTTAAGTCTCTTATTTCAGCTTAGGTCACTTGTTTTCCTTAGGAGTTTATAGTATCTGATTTATAGTATATTTTGTATCCTAGAAACATACCATTTGCCCTTGAACTGAATGAAATTCCATATTTGCCCATCTTTCTATTTTGTCTCTCTAGTTATTTTCAGAAATTTTGAAAATTCTTGTAGTCGAATTGGTTGAGACTTTCTAATCTATGAAAGAGCAGTATAAAGCAGCTCTAATTTAATAACTGGTTTAACTCTACAAGTTTTGTGAGATTTACCTTTATCTCCCAAAAACACTCTCTGCCCAAAGTTGATAGTATCTGTGCTATCCTGTGATGATAAGAAGAAGAAAATTTATATCATTCAGAGAACAAAATAGTGTTTTAGAATTAGGTCTTTCTTTCATAGTGTTTGGGGTAGCAAACAGGATTTATCTGCCTATTAAGTAGAAATTGTATGGAGGAATAGATTGCATTTCCTTGATCAAAAAGGTAAAGTACATTAAGTCATAATTTAAAACTATCCCTAAGCTCAGAGTGGTACTGACAAGGGCAGTCAGCTGTCCTTATGAGATATCCACCTTTTGTTGGACTGTCTGTTAAGTGATGGTAATAGAGACATCAGAAAACCTGACAAATAATGTCATGGGTTTCTTAAGTTTTGTAGAATGCTGTTGTTATCTCTATTTCTTTATGATGCTTTTCCCTTTTTTTCTGTTGGCTGTTCAGTTTTCTGTTCAGAGGGAAATAGGTATAACAAGGGTGATAATTTAAAGTAATTCCTTTTTTCTTTTTCAGGTGTGATGATGATCAGATGTCTAATGATAAGGAGCGGTTTGCCAGGTAATGTGGTATAGCATCTTGATCCGTGTTGTGGGACGAGGCAATTTGAGCATACTGAATGTTAATTTTATATGAACAAGAGTGAATTTCTCTATTCAGTTTCTTTCGTATTCTGAAAGCTGACAAAACTGAGTCTTCTTAGTATCATTTATGTTCAAGTAACATGATTTCAAATTAATGGTGTCTGTGACACAGTGAGTTTTATGTATGTGATAGATAGCTACAGCAGTATGCTATCTGGTGTCCTCAGGAACACAAACCATATGGATTTCTTGGTTGTATTTATCATTAAATAGGTCTACAAAATCTATATACTTAATGGTTTTAGTCTTTTCAAAATGGCAAAAGAGAACCAATTTTTGTGGAGATTGAGGCTATGTTGATAAGGCTTTTGATTGAAGTAAACTTAACTGTGTTTAAATTACCTGTCAAGATAATGAAAAGACTGTCTTTTATTAAACAATAAATCCTTCTCAACTCACATGCCAGTTTTGTTTTCAGAAAGCTTACACTCTGTGTTATTAAGCAGTGAATTATATGTATTTTAAAAATTAAGTTTGCAGTCACTTAAGAAAAATGAAAATGCATTATTTTAAAATCTAGTATTTAACTGAGCAATGAATTATTCATTTATTTATTGATTTTCCAATTTAGTTATTCACTGCTGCCACTACTAGTCCAGGAACCATATTTTCTGAACCACTGATGTAGAGGGCCAGGAATATCAGGCAGAGTCGTTTAAAACTACTCTGAAGTAGTGTGATGCCATCATGGGCTTTGCACTAGAGGAATAATATATAAAATGCTTTGTAGGGATATTTCTGTGGTAGCAGTATATAGGATAGATTGAAGAGAAGCACTGCAGCTGAGGAGGTGGGTTGGAGTCTGTTGAAATAATAATAGCTATACAATCATGAGGGTCTGAGCTAGAGTGGTGTTAATGACAAGAGGAAAAGAAGGCATGAATTTAAGAGGTTTTTGAAGAATTTCTTTGTCAAAGCTACTTCAAGATACTTGTAAAGTCTCTAGAATATGAACATCTCTAAAATGAGATTTTAATTATGAATATTTTTAGTTTTTTAAGTTGCATTGGGAAGTCAAGCCATCAAATAGTAGTGGTAGTGTATAGGTTCATAATCTCTTGACTGAAATTCCAAAAAGCTATGAAAATGTGACATGCTATTTTAGTCTTCATTTGTTTTGCTTAATGTGAATATTTATACATTGATACATTTCAGTCAGAAATAACTAAAATGGATAAGGGTCAGTAGGAATAGGAGTAATAGGGATTTTAGATGTTTAACTTTCAAACAACAGAGCTTACTTGTTTGTTTAAAGTATAATTTGCTAAACTATTTCACTTCACATATTCTTGAAAATTCAATAGAGGGGCTTCATAAGCTAAGAAAGTACAAATGTTCTCACCTTTTTTGAAAGAATGATTTGTAGTTTGCTAAGGAATTAGCAAGAAAAGATAACCCAGTGAACGTTAAATTCTAATGTTTGTTAGTTCTCTTTCTATTCTTCGCAGAATATATACATACATTTTTACATGGTTCTCATTGTTCATTGTTACTATGTTATTTCATGTGTTTTTTTTTGCTGATCATTTTATAAAAACTTTTCCATATATACTGTTTAAGTCATTGTACTTGTTATTTTTAATAGCTTAAATAGTCTTTCAGCCTCTTACTGTCATGGTTTGAAGTTAGACATTTAATTTGAGGCTTTTAATCTATACATATATATATTATAATACATGTACTTAAATATGTGTGTGTGTGTGTATGAGTGATACATTTTTTTAAAATTATGATTTGTGTTAAAGTTTACAGAACAAATTCATTTTTCATACAGCACTTCATATACATTTTGTCTCATGACACTGACTACAATTCCCCACAGTGTAACAGCTCTCTTCCCACTTCTCCCCGTAGTTACCTCTTCCCTGTGTCCTTCCCTCCCATGCACTCCTGACCCCCAAGCTGTCTCCCTGTGCAAACACTGCCCCTTTGTTCTCCCATGATTGATTATCCCAAGGAGTATATCTACTTGATGTAAATGTTCACCTCATGTATGTATGTATTTTATACACACAGACACATGCAGGTATGCATCACTTAACATTCATGATATGTTCTATGAAATAGGACAATTTGGACATTATGTGAACACCTATTAAAACCTTATGGGAGCCAGTTGTCCTCATTGCTGCTGCTGCTGGTAGAGGCAGGGAGGAATGAGTGTCTGGGTAGACAGCAACAGCAGCAGCTGCTGAGGTGGTGGGGCTAGGAGTATAGAGGAAGTGAGAAGGCAGAGAGGGAAGAACACTGGTCCTGCCTGCAGTTCTGCCCACATGAACAGCAGGAACAACCCAGGCCCTGCAGCTTCTGCTGCCACCACCACTGCCATACTGTGTGCCTACCAGACAAAACTTGAGGGCCCATGCCTAGATACATGTCCTCTGCCCAACCTGCCTGTGTCCCACCTGTGGTCCAGTGCTGCAGGAGTCTGAGTTGGGGGTTTAATGGTTTAAAACCATTAGGAATAAGTAATAAAGAAGAGCTGTTTTCCCTTTTAAAACAAAAGTCTTATGTGACCACGGATTTATATGTGATTGGATGTTACCTGAATGGATATTAGGAGACACGTACCTGTGTGCGTGAATATATTTGAAATTGAGTGTACACCTATTCAACAATTTCTACATGTATAGTTCAGTGACATTGGTTACATTCTTCATATTATGTCACCATTCTCTCTATCTTTCCCATACTGTTTCACCACCATTGACTTAGACTAACTGTCTCATAAATTACTCATCTGTACTTTAGAGTTACTGTTGTCAGTTTGATCTGCTATAGATAATTCTTTAAAAGATTGCTGTGCTCGAGGTGAGCATTCTTTATTAATGCACCTAAAATTGTTGTTTGAAGATGACTTCAAGGGGTAGTTTCAGTTCAGGGTTTAAAAATTTTCTCAGGGCAACAGATTCAAGGATTCCTTTAGCCTCAGTAGATCTAATAAGTCTGGATTCTGTAAGAAATTGGAAATTCTGTCCCACATTTCCTTCCCCCTCTTGATCAGTGCAAATTTATTAGGTCTTTGATAAAAACATTCTATAATGGTAGTCACCAGCCACTCCTCAGAAGGAAGATGGGGCAATCTACTTCCGTAGTGATGCTGCCTTGGAAACCCAAGGAGTGGTCGCTATGAGTCGGGTCCGACTCGATGGCACATAACAACAACAACAACAACAACATAATGGTGGCTGGAACCATCCAGTTCTGGGCTCATGACAAAGGCAATAGTTGATGGAGGCAACTAGTCTTGCAGTTCTGTTTGTTCCTGGGTCTCCTTTCTCTGCTACCCCAGGCAAATAGAGATCAATTGTTTTATCTTGGATGGATGCTTCCCAGGTTTTAAGATCCCAAGCACTAGTCACCAAACTGAGGGAGGTGGAGGTAAAATAGAAACTCTTAAAAACAGAAACCTCATTTGTAATTTTATTTATATAATTTGTCTTAGCAAAATTGGTTTGTTATTTTTTCTCGAAC